CCCAGATCAGTGCCAGCCTGGCCATCTGCTGGTTGGATGACCTCATGTAAGTCCGCTGGGCTCTCTGAGCCTGCTTCTTCCATTACATGGGGTCATGCATGCCTCACTTGGCTACTGTAAGGTCTAAGAAAAGATCAAACATCTTTCAAAGAGTAGTGCCTGGACTCTGGGGTCTTTCGGTAACCCATGACAGTATAGCCCACACTCAACAACTCAGAGCACCCCTCCCCTGCCACGTCCCTCCAGCGTGTGGGAATGCACTGGGCTGGCCCCATTCACTCCATCTTCAGAAAACTCTCAAACTCTCTATAGAGTTCCTTCTAAACTTTATTGAGCATCTGCTGTGTGCTGGGGATTTATGTGTGGGGAGGCCTGGGCAACTGAATCTGGCATCTCATATTCTGGTCGACCCATTTCTGGTGTCTGATGCTTTGCCCTTTGTTCCAGAATCGGGATCTTAGGACTCTGGGTACAGAGAGCTTGGGGGGGGTGGTGCTCCTACTGGTGGGCAGATTTCACAGCCACCCAAGCTTCCTCTATCATTCCAGTGGATGATTAGCCCCATCAATCCAGTGTTTGTGTTAAGGGATTCTGCCAGATTTATTTTTCAGTACAAAATTTAAGGGACAAGTCTGCCTTCCCAAAGAAAGTGAACAGCTTTGAAGGCTGTATCCTTGGGGCCTGGGTGCCCCTAGCAGGTGTTTGTGAAAACCAGCCCCTCAAAAAGGAGGCCCTCTCAAGTGCCCCCCAAAACAATTCAGTTCCAGATTCAGTATCTACCCTAAAGAGGGACACTCTCCCACCAGGCCTATGATGAAGGAATTGGGGACCATCAGTCCACTTCAAGGAGCCTCATGTCTTAAGGGAGATGCTGTAGAGGGCAGGGAAAGCTAATCCCGAGCTAGGAAGACCCCAGGGCAGGCCAGGCTCACACAGTGGAGGCCTCAGACTTAGCAGCTGAGCAAGAGAAAAAACCTCTTGCACAAGAACAGTTGCTGGAATGGAGGTCCATCTGCAGAGGTGGGCCCAGGAGGCCAGGCTGTCTCCTAGAGAGCAGTGCAGGTATAGAGGAAGGTAGAGAATCCTCCCGACCAGTTGTGAACTTCATTGTCCCCAGAAGTATTTTGAAATCCTCAACTCCAAGCTCTTCTTTGCTGTATGTGGAGCAAGTGTGATCCCTGAACCTCCTGGCGTTTCATGCTGGTGTTTCTGTCCCAGCCAGGAATCCTGGCCTTGCTGAGGAGCTGGGATTGGTGGGAGAAGGTGAAGGAGTCTGAAATCTTTGGCCGCCTGGTGCTGGCTTAGGCACAATCTCAAACTGCAAAGAGAAGAGAAGGCCGTGCTGTGCGCCCAGAGGATGGGGAGCCCTTTTGGCAGTCCCCAGCAGCATCAGGCCCAGGGGAACCCTCATTAAAAGGACCTCTCCCCCTTTGGAAAAGAGCAGGAGGTATGGTCAGGTGGTTCCCTACACCTGCGATGCAGAGAACCAAGACATGGTGTGCCCCCAACCTCGACCCCACCCTGGGGTTCCCAGCCTAGGGAGAGGGCTGAACTCCAGCACCCAAGGCTTTGGGAGCACGGGGGATGCACCCAACCCAAAGTGGGGGTGAAGGGAAGTTCAGGGGGGTCATGCCTGAGTTGACTCCTAAAGGATAAAGAGAGGATATCCAGGTCACCAAAGCAGCAGGGACATTCAGGTGGATCTAGAGTATCTGGTGACCTCTGGGTGGTTTCCCTCCACTTTCAGAGCAATCCAGCCTCACCCCTGGAATCTGTGGCTCACACCAAAGTGTGGATCTCTTCAACTTAGAAGTGACGGACCCTGGGCGCCCTCCCTAGGCAAGTCGCCATTAGCAGGTGAGTTTATAAGTTGTTCTTTCAGATCTCTTGTCCTTAATTGTTTTCTGGTCTAGGCGGGATGGGGTTGACAATAGAGTGTGCGGTAGAAGCAGAGATAGCGTATCTTTTCTGGCTGCTGACTTCACACGGCTTCTGATGTGTCCCCACCCAACCGTGATGGAAAAGTCTAGACACCAAACATGTCACAGCATCTGCTTCTGAGGTGGGGGGGGGGTTCCCGCCTATTGGTCATGGGTTGAATTTCTTAAAAAATGAAATATGAACGTTAAAGAATTCTATTCAATGCCTTTTCTGTCCTCTACAGAGATTATATTTTTGGTTCTTTTCCAGATGAGATATACTTTTAAGATATTTTCTAGCTTTCTGCCAGAATGTTCAGTCTGTTTCAGATAAACCCAGTTATAAATTCCCACGTGTTTGGGTGTCCGTCTGTCTGTGCTGGTTCTTGCTCTTAGAATTCTGGCTCCTTAAATGTGTTCATTTTTTTTATAGTTACCTCACTTAGAAGTACAGTGCTTATTGGTGTATCACCATGCCTAGCATGGAGTGGGTGCTCCGTAAACGTTCTTTAACTTAAAAAATTTTAATTACCACGTATAAGTGCACAGGAAAGCGCTCTTTAGGACATTCATAGTGTTGTGTGACGATCGCCACCATTCACCTCCAGAACTTTTTTTTTTCATCCTGCAAACCTGAAACTCTGTCCCCGTTAAGCAACGGCCCCCCTTCCCCCCTCCACCAGCAGTGGGAGACTTTGTCTCCATGATTTTGATTACTCTAGGTGCCTCCCAAAAGTAGATTCATGCAGTATTGGTCTCTTTGTGACTGGCTTCCTTCATTTAGCATAATGTCCTCAGGGTTCGCCCATATGTAACAAGTGTCAGAATGTCTTTCCTTTTTAAGGATAATGTTGCATTGTATGTATCACACATTGGCTTATCCATTCACCTGTGATGGACTTTTGGGTTGCTTGTACCTTTAAGCTATTGTGAATAAAGCTGCTACAAATATGGAGGTACCAAAATCTGTTAGAGTCCGTACTTTCAATTCCTTTGGGTATATACCCAGAAGTGGAGTTGCTAGATCATATGGTGATTCTATGTTTAATTTTTTGAGGAACCATCATAATGTTTTCCAGAGTGGGTGCATCTTTTTTTTTTTTTTTTTTTTGGCATGTCCACCAAGAGTACACAAAGGTTCCAATTTCTCCACATCCTTGCTAACACTTATTTCCTTTTTTTTTTTTTTAATATAGTAGCCATACTAATGGGTGTGAGGTGATAGGTCATTGTGGTTTTGATTCACATTTCCCTGACGATGAGTGATATTGAGCATCTTCGCACATGCTTGTCAGCTGTCTGGATGTCTTCTTTGGAGAAATGTCTATTTGGGTCCTTTGACCATTTTTTCCTAACATTTTTCAGTTTATTTTTAGTAATCTCCAATGTGGGGTTTAAACTCATGACCCCAAGATCAAGAGTCACATGCTCCTCCTTTGACCATTTTTTAATGAAGTTGTTTTGTTGGTGGTGAGTTTGCAGGAGTTCTCTATATATTCGGAATATTTACCCCTCATCAGATAAAATTTGCAAATATTTTCTCCCATTCCATAAGCTGCCTTTATACTTTGTTGATTGTGTCATTTTGTGCACAGAAGTGTTCAATTCTGATGAAGTCCAATTTGTCTGTCTTCTTTAGATGACTGTGCCCTTGGTGCCAAATTCAGTGTCGTGAAACTTTCCCCGTTTTCTGAGGGCTTCATAGTTTCAGTTTTTATATTTAGGCATTTGATCCATTTTGAGCAAATGTTTGTATGGGGTATAAAGGAAGGGTCCAACTTCATCCTTTTGGATGTAGACACCCATCCCCGCCCCCTGCCCTGCCTCCCCACTATTTGATGGAAAGATTGTGCTTTGTCCATTGAATGGTCTTGACACTCTTGCCAAAAATCACAAGAGTTTCCTTCTGGGCTCTCTATTCTATTCCATTGGTCTGTATACCTTTGTGTTAATACCATACTGCTTTGATTACTGTAGCTTTGTTATAAGTTTGAAACCAGGAAGCAGAAGACCTCTAACTTTGCTCTTTTTCAAGATTGCTTTGGCTATTTGGGGGCCCTTGAGAGTCCATATGATTTTTAGGATGGATTTTTCTTTTCTTTTCTTTTCTTTTTTAAAGATTTTATTTATTTATTTGAGAGAGAGAGAATGAGAGAGAGAGAGAGCACGAGAGGGAAGAGGGCAGAGGGAGAAGCAGACCCCCTGCTGAGCAGGGAGCCCCCGATGTGGGACTTGATCCCGGGACTCCAGGATCATGACCTGAGCCGAAGGCAGTCGCTTAACCAACTGAGCCACCCAGGCGCCCTAGGATGGATTTTTAA